TTAGCGATAGTCCTTCTATTGGTGCATGCAAATACAATCGTGAGCAAACACCGATCGACATATTGTAAAAAAAAAAATAAAAGAAAACAGACGCTTTGGGTCAGTAAATCGTTAGCTGAAATTCTCCTATGCAAATTCATTCAATTCATGGTATTTAAGACTTAACTATCTTGGTTTAAGCTTAAGGTGGTGCTACACACATCTACAGCCAACTTGTCAGCCAAATTTGGACTAAATACGGACGGATCGTGTGAAATTAACAGATCGGCAGTTTCGATTTACTAGAAGATTGATTTACAGCGATAAACAGACAGCAATGTACGCCATGTCATTGTACATTGTTATCGCTTATCAAGAAGTCCGCTCTATTATACAATTTGACGATTATTATATGTCGGCATGTTTAAAATTAGTCAATATGTACGCTTTGCGAACTCTTCAATTATGTTCATAGATTGTCTTCATTATTCCAAACTGACATACAACAATTGTATATAATTATTTGATGCAATTTATTATTATTATGCATTGAATGTTGTGAATAAACTCAAAACTTTGTGATTTGAAAGAGAAAGTTTGAATATAGATGAGGATTTGTAATGGTCCAAAACTGAGTTGACTGGGTTCTGGACTCAGTTGACTGAGTTCTGGACTGAGACGGTCCAGAACTGACACAGGTCCAGCACTCAGGTACAACAGCTTTCTTTTTCTGGCACGTAAATCATCTAAAAATTCAATAATATTAAAATCCAGGTTAATTCAGAGCAAATAGATAAACTTTCATACCTGAACTTCATCGACAATAAGTATAGTCCGAATGTGATCACACTCTTCATGGAATTTTTTCCAAGTTATGCCCATTAGTCGCTGAAACTCCTCCTCAAATGTCCAAGTATCACTAGGGGTGCCCATCCACAAGAGTGAGATGCGAATGACTCTAATGTTGGGATTTTTAACCAGGCGTTGTTCTAATAGCTGGCCCAATGAAGTCTTTCCAGACATGGGTGGAGATCACACAAGTAAAACACCAGCATCCTGGATCTTCTCAGCAAGCTTTTGGATTGTCTGCTCACAGAGGCAGATCTCAGGATTATTGAGGTCGATTCCTTCATAAGTACCAATTCGATCCCCTTCAGTTCCCATGTACATAGTTCCACCAAGGCCTCCTATACAAAAGTGAGATATTAGGATGATTTAAAATGAAAATGATGCAAACGTATACTGAAATAACCATACCTTGTCTTGGTGTATATGGCAACTTTACATCTATATGATGAAGCAAATTATAGTGAGCAAACAGGATAATCTATTTGTACTTGAAATGTGCATTGACTAAATGCTTACGTTCTCCTAAGAAGGTGAGTTTGACAAGAGATAAGGAATGAAGAGAAGAAAGTATAAGTTAGTGAATATTGCGAACAGCACAAGTTATTAGTGTACAAAACTTCCTCTCGAACGAATAGACGAAAATAGTATATAAGAGTATATAAGTAATAGAAATAGAGAGTATTTAGTTGGCTCACAGAGGGTTTCCTCAGAGGTGGAAAGTGGATATAACAAGGAGACCAAACATATAGAATGCATGCGACAGCAGCATTCAAACTATCCTCTAACCATACTGTTTCTCATCTCCTTTGAAACGAGTTTATGTATAACCTAGCTTTGCTATGACGCAGCTCTGCCCCAACTAATAACGCCCAGCTGCCTCTCTTGCAATATAGCACAAAACCAGTAACAGTATTCAAACTCTTCTCCCCGTTGCTCCTCTATCCTCCCAATAAACATGTGTTGCTTACCTTGTTTACCCTGTGCCATTAGGAATTCCTTGTAGCAATTTGTGGTTGCTGCAGGGTTGTCCTGATAGTATTGAATGTAGAAGTCTTTATACTTCTTGTACACACCTTCGAGCTCCTCCTCAGTTGCTGTTGAGAAGTCTTGACAATAGTTCCTGCTGAATCCCAGTGAGTAGTCCACGTCCATTGCATTCATGTCTAGATGTTTTATGGTTAAGTGAATGGGTGTAAAAGAAGAGTCGTGATCTAGCTCTGCACCACCCAACTCAGCCCTGTATATATGCTTTACTTACACAAACATGTGATACTCCTTGTATTGAAGCGCTGAATCAACTACAGGTGCCAGGTCCAGTACACTTAGCAAAATAGATCAGAAACCCACCATGCTTTTGTTAGAGATAAAGGATAATGAAGACAAAGGGAAAATCTCTTTTATATGCTTATGCTTCTAATTTTCGTTTTTTTCTTGGTTCATCATAAGTTGGGGTTAATGTTCGTTTATGGTTTATTATTTTTCTTTCTTCTTGGTAAATTTCATAAGTTATTTTTTCTTGATCTAGATATTCCTGGAGAGTTTGGGTATTGTTGATTTTAAAAACGTAAGGCGCAATTTTTTCACCTTGAGCTTTTTTTAGAATACTTCTAATGGTGCTGTAATTCTTGGGTTCCATAGTGGATTTAATGTAAATTAGTTTCATATTAATATTTTTATATATAGAGGTAATCCTATATTGCTCCTGTTATGGTTTATATTCCTCACCTTCTGGTATGATAAAGGGAACATTAAATTTAACAAGTCCATAAGTTATAAATGAACACCATTTATCATTATAATTATTACTTTCCAAAACATCACTTTTACAGCCACATCACAATCAGCCTCTCAATTATGTCACATAATAGAATGTTCACTTTGTCTGGTTTTGTTGCAGTCTGCCCCATATATTAATATTACTATGTTGGGTGCAAGGCTTAAATTGATAGTACCTGGGTATAACGAAACAAATTTCGACTATAACAAAATTTTTCTGATGTCCCAAAACCTTGTCTAATAGAATTTCCTGGATATAACAAAATTAATTAAGAAAACCTGGCTAATATAAATAAGATACAATAAAGTTTTCTTATAACAAATATTATAATTATATTATAGTAAAGTTTGTTATAATTCAGCAATCTTTCCCATTAATGTAAATATGTACAGTGGACTCTCCTTAAGTGCAGGTCGTTGGGACCGGGGTCAATGCCTGCACTTAGAGAGAAACCTGCATTTAGTATTAGGGAGAATCAGTAATAGTAATATTGAATTCACACATGGGACCAGATTATTTCCTGCACTTAGAGAGATAATGCACTTAGGGATCATGCACTTAGTGAGAGTCCATTGTATATGTATGTATGATGACATACTAATATTAATATGGTAATTCACTTCATATTTAAAAGTTTACTGTAAATTCTAGTCTGTTTCTTGTCATAATGTCTAGAGACAAAGTGACAAAACTTGCTAAGAACAAACGCTATGCACTTCACAGCATTGAAAAAAAAGGAAGTCTGTCAAATAAAAAAAGACAAACCACTCTCAAGAAATATTTGACATTTGATGTGTAGCTGGTAGTTTCTTTTATATTGCATACTAATACAGTAATTTTCTGTCTGAATGAGCATCTTCAATAAAATAATTAACACAAAATGACCTGCTTTAAACGAAACTGTATTAGTAATGAAATTGAATAATATATGCTCCCTCAGGTGGACACTCCTCATCTCAACACTTCTGGGATAACCTCCCTCCCAACCCACCACATCCCCTCATTGTAGGGGGGGACTTCAATAAAACTTCCTCTATCCTAGACCACCAATCCAGCCAAGGTTCCAGACGTCCTCCAGACACATCCTTCATTCCATCTCTTTTCCCCTCCCTTATTGACCTAGCTACCACACAATCCCAACAAACACAATTCACCTGTTTTACTAACAGAGTGAATGGATAGACAAAATCTCGTATTGACTGTATTACAGTGCTGGACAAAAGTAATGGCGGTACGTACGCGACTTTGTTTTTTGTTGATAGCAACACCGTGTCGCGTTTTGGAAGTTTGTTTACTATACCAGATTGAGTAG